GTGTCTCAAATTAACCTATTTCAATATAACTTTATCAACAGCATCGGTTATGTGCTTTTGAAAATAATTTGAACTCATCCATAAGTTTGTTCAAACATTAGTCTGCAGTAATGCACTTACAGTGGAAGTCTGTGTGGCAAGTCATTCCACCAGAATACACATTAAAATACATGCTTTATCGACTGTAACCGTGACTTTATACTGTACATACTACTAACATGAGACTTCCTAAAATCTGTTAATAAAGCTTGACTTGTGTTGAACCTGTTTTGAACCCTCTCCCTCACCTGTCTCTTTGTCTGGTTAGTTTGCGTTCGGTGGACATGAGGAATAACAGTATTAGTGTTCTGCCGGGACCGGCTTTGTGGGTCAGTGTAAACCTAAGAGAGCTGATGTTCAGTCATAATCACATCTCTGTGCTCGACCTGAGCGGCCCGGTGTACAAGTGGGCCAGACTGGAAAAACTTAATTTGAACTCCAACAAACTCACTGAGGTACGATTCATATCACACTCTTGGTCTGTCTTTGTGCCTGAAAGGGTATAATTGTTAGAAAATGTTGAGAAGCTTGGGTTTTATTATTTTGTGCTTCAGATCCCTCCTCAGATTGGTATGTTGGAGGACCTGACATCTCTAGATGTCAGTCAGAATGAAGGTTTGCGCTCTTTCCCTGATGAGATGGGGAAGCTGGTTCATTTATGGGATCTACCTCTAGATGGTCTGCAGCTCCAGATGGACCTCAAACACATTGGGAACAAAACCAAAGACATCATCAGGTCTAAATCTGTCTGCATGTGTTTTTCTAGAATCTAAAGTTTTGAGAAAAGTTACTGAATATTGAAAAAGAGAGGAACCTGTTAATATGCCCCGCCCAAATATCCTGTTTCAATTGCAAATACCTTGTCAAACCAATTCAAGTCTGAATGTGAACGCTGTGGTTCTTAAAGGTTCTTGCAGCAGCGTCTGAAGAAAGCTGTGCCGTATTACCGCATGAAACTCATTGTGGTCGGCAGCCCATGTAGCGGGAAAAGTTCTTTGATTCATCAGCTGATGAAGCTGAAACGTTCTCAGTGGCGATCTGATCAGCACACCGTCGGCGTCAGCGTCAGAGACTGGGCCATCAGAAACAAAGACAAGAGGAACATGCAGCTGAATGTTTGGGAGTTCTCAGGTAAGCATCTTCACGATACTAGCAACATACCAAAAATGAAAACAATGTCAGTAGGAAATAGTGGGTTTTTCTCTTTCTGTCGTTGTGTAGGTGGTGAAGAGTGCAGTGGATTTCACCCTCACTTTATGAGCTCCAGGGCGCTCTATCTAGTGCTGTATGACCTGAGTAAAGGACCCAGTGAGATAGACGCCATCAAACCCTGGCTCTTTAACATTAAAGTAAATTTAACATTTAGCTCTTTCCAGCAAGCACAGAATGCATTTACAACACACTTTTCACATGTTTACATGTTAGGCCTTGTTGCAGTACAACTTTTTAACAACTGCAGCATAATCTAAAATGTAAGTCACATCAAGTCAAATTTATTTGTAAAGCGCATTTCACAACATACGTTGTTTTAAAGCAGCTTTACAGGAAATCATCATGTTAATGTTAAAAATACCTTGATATCTTCAAGCCTTTGTAGTCACATTTAGAAGATTAGAGCTGGATGATAATATAGTATAAATTTTGATAATACAAGCAATCATGCAGTTGAGATTTGCTATATAGTAAATACTGTATACTGTATGTATGTGGATAAAGTTGGATATATATATATATATATATATATATATATATATATATATATATATATATATATATATATATATATATATATACACAC